AACTGTAAACCAGTAACACTATAAACAAACAAAAAAAAGTCATGATTTGAAGAAAGTAGTCCAGCGCCATAGGCTTTTATCTCTCCTTCTTGCTTACACAGTCCGAACTCAACTGTAAACCAGTAACACTATAAACAAACAAAAAAAAGTCATGATTTGAAGAAAGTAGTCCAGCGCCATAGGCTTTTATCTCTCCTTCTTGTTTACACAGTCCGAACTCAACTGTAAACCAGTAACACTATAAACCAAAAGTCATGATTTAAGTAGTAAAAAAAAGTATATATACAGAGCTTAATTTAAGATAATTACAGAGATCATGAGGGCTTCTAGTATAATACTTTGTAGTGTCGTTGGTGTGATGTAAGGCATTGCCAAAACGTTCTAGAAATTGTCACATCGCAACACACACAACTACTTTGTTTGTTTGTAATTAAGCACGAAGCTACACAATGGGCTATCTGTGCTCTGCCCACCACGGGCATCGAAACCTGGATTCCAGCGTTGTAAGTCCACAGACATGCGCTGTGCCACCGAGGGCCACACAACTACGGTAATGGAATACTGTTGATAGGAAGCAACATATTACCAAACTGTTCTGTATATTTAGACTCATGAAACATATTTGTTATTAAAAGCAGTGAATTAATATTGTAAATACTAGAAGAAACGATGCCCTACGGAGGCTCTTTGTGATAGTAATTATTAGTAGTATTCATTCAAAACAAATTTAGAAAAAAGTGAATATTTTCTAAAAAAATGATATCTTTTGTGTATGTATTGCACGGGAAAAGTGTTCGGATTGTTCTGATGTAAACTGTAATATTTTTATATATCAAAAGTGGTACCCTTACTGGAAAAAATAACAGTTTTTTAAAGAATCCCATTTTTAGTACTATATTTACAAATTACACCAATAAAGATATAATCAAACCCTTACGTACAGTCCTAGTGAAAGTCGTGTTCTTGTTGTGAGGACAATACTTTCATTTAAAATTGTGTTCTCTGATAAAGAAATGGTTAAAATCATAAATAATATTCAACGTTAAACTGGGACACAATTAAAAACATTTTATTTAGGCCTATCTATGGCCTTCAGAAAGTTGACGACTCTACATGTTTCGACGTTACAACGTCATCCTCATGATTTTAACTTTATACACAAGTGCCAAAATACTATAATTAAATATATGGTTGTTGCACATACGTAGTTATATTTCTAATTGACTGAATTTTCAATACCCAAATGTGAATTTTTTTATGGATTTTTGTTTGTGGTACCATTCAATAGATGACGCCACATTGTATATATTATTTCGGTCACATACATAGATACATATATATAGTGAGATAAAGTGATCACGAAAGAGGTACTCATCTTTATAAACACCAAACTTGCTAGATCTCAGTCTATGTGATTTTATTGTGGGGAAGGAGGGAGACTAAAAGCCAGTATTACACACACACACACAACAGGAAGAAATCGTTGGCATAATCCTGAGCCCCTCTGCGCAAACTCTGAGTGCCTCTTACATGACTACTATTTATTAATTATACCGTACAGTAAATGACCACGCTCATAAAATTAAACTTCTGTGAAAGAGTACACTAAAAACAGTATATAATTACAAAATACGGAATTTACCGTGGCTAATTTATCTATATAGTCGAGAGTACACTAAAAACAGTATATAATTATAAAATACAGAATTTACCGTGGCTAGTTTCTCTATATAGTGTATATAATTATAAAATACAGAACTTACCGTGGCTAGTTTCTCTATATAGTCGTCTGGAGCTCCAAGAGAAGCCAAACCAATTTCCTGGGAAAATCTAGCAAAACTCGGATTGGCAAACAGCGGTGCATGTCCCAGAAGTTCATGGCAAACGTCACTACCAAGAAAACAGGAACGTCAGTTTCAATTCGTGTTTGCAAAGTCGTTTATCATTCTTCACTGTTTTGAATGAAATATAAAATATAATTCAATTTTTGGTACAATACATAAAATAGATACTCAAACAAAGACAAAAAAGATGTTAAAAAGACTGGAAGATTTCAATGTGTTAGATCAGAGAAGAGAATCGTCAGAAATGTTACCCACTTCTCACAAGTATTTTGTCTGTCCGTTGAATAACTCAAGTGAAAGCAAGTGTAGAAAAAAATTGAGAAAATCGTGAATAAACGAATCAAACATGCAAGCGGACTTGTATGGCCAAATAAATCGAATTTTTGTTATCTTCAATTCATATTCGAATATAAAAGTGATCTAGAACATAAGTCGATCATTTATAAAAAATGTGCTTATTATTATTATTTTACAAATGAGAAACAATCTGTGTCATTAATGTAGCTCACTGGGATGATCATAGCTAATACTGTTCGAAGGGTTACCAAGAGGTGAAGAAAATCGAAGTGTTAGCTTTAGGTAGAAACCAAAAGAGCCTGAAATCTCTCTCTTTCAAAATAAAAGAATGTGATAGTGTATGAATATATATATGTCAACCATGAAATGGGAGGGGATTATTTATATAGATCAAATGCTGATCTCAAAGCGTGACATTATCTACAGTGTTGAAAAGATTTAACACTCCAATCGGTTAGTGTATGTTATAATCTATTTCGCTATTTTTATTTGCAGAGAAAAAAAAGAAGGTGGTTTTTTGACTGTTCAACGTTTTTTTTTCAGCCATTTTTAAGTTAGTAATGTCATGTTACTCACAATAATTTCCATAAATTCTATTAATGAATTTTGATATAATAAACATGGGGAGCAACCAAAAAGATTAAATAACAGAAAAACGTTATTTATGTTCTAATCTTTATCGTGGAATATTCAACATATTGTGAGCAAAAATAAATAAATAAATAAAGAGAGAGAGAGAGAGAGAATATGTCAATACTAACGGTTCAGGTGTGTACAGAGGCTTGGAAGAGTGTCTTATGTACTGAGTTGAGTGAAACACTCGGAAGGCTAAGCCCGCCAGGAAGTCCCGAGAACTCAGAAGACCAGCCACAGGTCGTAGTGTGAATCCGGTGCAGTCTGTAAAGCACAGAGAGCATAACTGTATAGTGTAGAGTATTTCTGTTTACTGAACAAACAGAATATCAGGGTTTTGATGTTGAGTCCTTGAGCAGGAAATCATTCTACATACACACACTCACATACATCTATATATATTTAACATACACACACTCACATACATTAATATATCTTTAACATACACACTCACATACATCTATATATCTTTAACACACACACTCACATACATCTATGTATCTTTAACACACTCGCATACATCTATATATCTTTAACACACTCACATACATCTATATATCTTTAACATACACACACTCACATACATCTATATATCTTTAACACACTCACACTCACATACATCTATATATCTTTAACACACTCACACTCACATACATCTATATATTTTAACACACTCACATACATCTATATATCTTTAACATACACACTCACATACATCTATATATCTTTAACATACACACTCACATACATCTATATATCTTTAACACACTCACATACATCTATATATATATTTAACACACACTCACATACATCTATATATGTTCAACACACACACTCACATACATCTATATATCTTTAACACACTCACACTCATATACATCTATATATCTTTAACATACACACTCACATACAGCTATATATCTTTAACACACACACTCACATACATCTATATATCTTTAACACGCACAAAATATATCGCTATGCAAATACACATATAAGTAAATAAAAACACTAAATGAATAATAATAATAAAAAACAGCCTGAAAAATAAAACTGGGTTATTGAAATTGGTGGCAAATTTAGTTAGTTTCAGAATAAAGCTATACAATGGACTATCTGCACTGTGTCCACAGCAAGGAACGATCCTGAAGCTTAGCGCTGAGCCACTTGGAAACAATGCCAAAAGAGGAAAGATACATTATTCGTTGTGTTTTTCTTTTTTATTTTAATAATCTGTAAAGAGTTATTCTAAAGTTTTTTTATTTGGTTTTTCATTTTCGTGAGCTAAATGTAAAGTTTAACAGTTTCTTGGAACGGTTTGTTATTCAATTTAAGAAATGTTAAGCTCTATTTTATCACGAAAAGTGCCAGAGATAAATTGGTAAAGACAAACTGACATTAACTATCCTTGCAACCAGTATCATCAAATATAGCTCATTAAAGTCTGACATAATAGTAACGTCACAACCATAGTGTTGGTTAGTCGGTTTAATTATTTTCGTGCAAAGCTACTCGAGAGTAATCTGCGCTAGCTGTATCAAATTTTGAAAATATAGACTACAGGGAATGCAGCTAGTTAACACTATCATCTTTGAAAGGGCGAGCATATTCGGTGACGGGTTTCGAACACTCGAACAGCAGGTTGCGAGTCGAGTGTAATTGGAAATATTTGGGATAACTTTATGAGAGACCCACTACGTTGTTATATATGGCTATTAACATTATTTTTATTTATCGGCAAAACAAAAGTGAAGTAAGGAAGACTAAATATCAACAGAAACCATTACATTTTACAAAGATCTAATACAGGGCACTTAATTTTTTTGAACTTTACAACTGACTGAATTCTTTTGATTTTTATCATTATTATTTTGGAAATAGTCAGATATTTTACTCGTGCAAGGGGGAGAAGGGGTGGATAGGTAATAATAAAACTAAAACTCATGTGCAATTATATAATGTATCTGAGTCGCCCTTATTAGAACTAGCACTCCGTTGCGGGATTCAAAGGCCCCACGCGTGATTCACGGAGGGCCTACTGTACCAGTTAAGTTCCTCCAGCATCCCAATTTACTACTATTAGCTATTTCAAGGAATTCATACCCGAAAACAAATCCTTTTAGGACATCACCCGTAGTATCTGAGGACGTGTGCTACATTGGGACTCGCTGGCTTATGAGTGTGGTGGGAGGGGTGTATGAGCACAGTTTCATACATGATGCCCCTGGAATCCTGAGGGTATCCAAGAATACAAAATGCGACGCCAAAATTAGTTCTAGCGACTATGAAGCATAATACTAGACCTCCATCACACTTCCCGAGTCATCCCGTTTCCGCCTGCCATGTTTGTTCCAGCTAGCTATAAGACTGTGGGAGAAGTTTGTGGACAAACAAACACATTCCCAAACACACAGCGTGTATTAATGTAGGATATATTAACTTATGAAAACAAGTAGTCACATGTTAGAATATCTTAGTGGTTCGGATGAGAGGATTACAATAAGGATTGTTCTTCTGTCTTAGAGCAAATCACCTTGGGTTATTTGCTCTGCCCTCCTCGGAGAATCGAACCCCGGATTCTAGCATCGTAAGTCCGTAAACATACCGATGTCTCAGCGAAGGACTACAATAAGGAAGGGTTTGTTTGTTTGTAGTTAAGCACAAAGCTACACAGTGGGCTACCGGTTTCTAGCGTTGTAAGTCCGCTAACATACCGCTGTGCCACTGGGGGCTATAACGAAATGAAAAATATCCTATAAACAAAACTAACAAACAAGAATATAAATCGAAAGACAAAAAAATAAAGTTTAAAACATGCTGAACCAATTTAAACGATAAAGTTATTATTATTAGATATGTTTTGTATATTCAGGATATTTGAATTTAAAACAAATAACAAGTTATTGTTTTTTTTTCTTCTTAAAACAAGATAAATATCCACGTGGTTGCGACAACTTGTGTGTTTAACTAATATGTTTGTTGTTAAGCCCAAATCTACACAATGGACTTTCTGTTCTCTGCCCACCGCTGGTATCGAAACCGATTTTTAATATTACGAGCCCCCAGACTTGCTGCTTAGCCCCCGGGGAGATTGTAACTAACCCTCATTGTTCGTACGATAATATCTTATGTAATATTCCTACAACGGCAATCTTTCTCGTATAACCTATGAATAATGAAATAATGATAAAAGTTGTATACCAATGATCGTTTGTTTATTTGTTTCGGATATTCACGTAAAGCCACAGTTATAGCCGGCTCTAATTTTGAACTGGTAGATTAGAAGGAACGCGACTAGTCAATAACACCACCATCATCTCTTGAACTGCTCTTACCGAATAGTGGGATTTGACCATCACCCTTATAACTCAACCACGGAACCCAAGTGTGAAGCAATATTTTTCTTCTTTATTTTCTGCAGTAACGGGAGTCAAACCATTGACCGTCGGATCCACTGTCCGGTACATTAAATATTAGGACATGTTCGGTCTATGAACTTTTATCTTATGAGTACATTGGTGACTTTCATCACACAAGAGAAGTAATTAATTATAATTCATGCGTATATTTGAAGATTAGTTTAGGAGTCCATTTAAAAAATAATATTTTAGTTATACACGGATATAAAAACAATTAACGGATTGTTTTCCTTTGTTCTTGGTGAAAAAGGTGGCAGACGATAATGGATTGATTTTATAGAAATTAAATCAAAGTCATACCTCTTTATATATGTACAAAAAATAAAATAATAAAAATAAATAATTAACAGAATAATTTGGCAATTCTATAAACTTTAGAAATATAAAAAACTTTCTAAATATATTTATAGTAACATGTCAACAATACTACACGAGTCTTAGCAAATGGTCAATACGGCCTTTCACCAATTACCAAGGCTCATCACGTCAGCTGGAATATGACAAACATTTTAGTGTTGGAGGTGCTATTTAAATCGTGAATTTATGAAAAAAAAACTGTTATGATGTGAACTAGATTAAATAAGTTATAATTACAATCAATAATTTGATTTCAGTCATTTGCAAATCAGAATTAAGGGTAAGGATTAATAACACATTATTATTTATTTATTTTTCACGTTGATTATTTATTTTTCTATATCGACATTTAGGCTCAGTCGCATAACGTAATTTTACCTTTTAAAAAATTGGATACATCTTCCAGTTGTGGAATGTTATCTTCATGGTAACCGCAGTTCTCTACCATCAAAGGAAATATATGGTTGTGTTCTCGGCAGGCATGACTTGGGTAAAGTTTAGTCAAATGACGAAATACAGTGCCCCTAGTAATAATAAAAAGAATTATGGTCTTAGCTTTCTTAAAATAATACTCATTGTAATATATATATATATATATGTGTGTGTGTGTGTGTAAATTTGACGTTATTAAAAACATGATAACCCTGAAGAAAAGTTTGAAAAATCTAACTAAAATATTGAAAAAATATATTTGAATAAAGATATCTATTTTTGATAAAATACTGGCTAAGTTTTTTAAACCAAAGACTTGGTAAACAATAACGCTGAAAAAAAAAAGAGTTAAAACCTGTAGCACTGTTGAGAATTTTGAAATTCTGAAATAAGCTAGCTATGAATAGAAATTTTAACAAAATATTTAAAAATATATTTGAATAAAGATATCTATTTTTGATTAAATATTGGTTAATTTTTTTTAAAACAAAGACTTGGTAAACAATAACGCTGACGATAATTCTAAAAAAAAAAAAAGAGTTAAACCTGTAGCACTGTTGATAGCTTTGAAATAATCTAGCTATGAATAGAAATTTTAACAGTTAACAAAGCACAATAGTAGAGCTTGAGTTTACAAATGCAGGAATGTTGAATCACTGTAATCTTGATAAGAAAATAAAATAACAAACATTGAATACTAAAAAGGGCCTTAATTAATTACATCTTGGAGTTCGGGCGTTTTCAATGATATACAATAATATATTTCTTATTAAAAGGGGCGTTTAAATGAGTTTATTTCTGATATCTTTATATATATATGAGTTATTTTGTAAGCAAAAAAATTACTTGACTGTTGGATAAACGGATTATGTTTAACTTAAGGAAACAGTGTGTGTAATAGAAGACTTCTTGCATGTGAAATGACAGTAACGTTAGTATGTAATATAAGGATAAAAGAAATTCCACAGTTTCGTTATGTCAGGTAATACATACTTCTTTAACCCTAGAATTAGCCATGGAACTCCATTGTCTTTTTAAACTCATTTTCCTAAGTTATATATGTTCCAAACTGATTGCGGATTAATAATTTTATTGGTTACAGAGCTCCTACACGCAAATACCATTAATATTGCAGTTGTCCCCACTGATTATTTCTGGGGTCTCCTGTATACCCTACGTAGACAATTAATAATTTTCATCCTTGTTTTTTCTCTCAGTAGTTTATACGAAAAAAAAACAAAATCATTCAATATTTGGACCCCACCGGTAGTGAACGGTATAAAATCAAGTTTACATGTTCTGCTCTTGACCATCTACTGGTCAAACAACTCACCATGTTTTAATCTCTTCCTCAGAATACTGAACCCGAGGGATAGGTTGACCGCTGTACAGAAGAGAAAGTCACATAATATATATATATACATATATGTTCATTTATTAATACTAATTGTGAGAAAAATTAACCGCATATTTTGCCGTGTAATCTTAGATAATAATACTGAAATTTCAAAGTAAGTTCAAAAGATCTAATATGCAAAAATGAATGCAGAAGTCTAAGTTTGAAATGCATAGACATAAAAAACAGACACTGATTTAGAATGTGGACTCGTAGGTCTATTTCAAGAAAGAAAACTTAATTGTTTGATAAAATGTATCTGATTTTCAAAATCAATATATATTTGAATGAAGTAATACAGTAGCTTGCAAGTAAGAATTTCTGAAATAAAAATTACTGAATTATTCTTGCTTTTATGTACTTACTGTCGATAATGATAGGCGATGTCAGCGAAGTATTTCCTTCTCTTTCTGTATTCAGGATCCGTAAATCCCTAGAATTATAATACATTCCCACAAAATGTTAAATCCTACCTATAAACATATACACACGTGTGAATAAAAGCTAATTAACATCAGAAGTGTAGAATAACGTGTGTTTAGAAACCTGAATTGAGAACTATAAGTTTTAAAACATTTTACTGACACACTGTCTATATTTAAACAACGCAAAAACACTTTATTGTAATCATTACTCGAGAATAACAAATGGCTTGAGTTAGTTGCGTCTTTCACAAGGAATATAAAAATTTTAATTTTATAATACATATAGACCTATATATGTGTATAGGAGTCCTTGCTCTATCTTAGCTTGGGACACCACGAGAGATTAATCCGGTCCTGTTTTTTTTTTATAACCAATATATTTTTTTTAAATATGTCATATGCTAAACAACCATAGATTAGTATAATTATTTCAGACTGTTTGACTTATTTACAATGAATCAATACTTATTAAAAATATGAAACAAGACGTATTTACCACCAAGTGACGAATCTTTCGTCCTCATTTGACTTTATTTAACCGCGAAAACCCTCTAAAGAATAATTAAACTAAGACTTTTTCACCAACTGCTATAACCTTCAGCGGACTTATTTGCCGTTATTTTGTGTACTCAAAATAAGATAAATCAATAGAGCTTATTATTATTATACATGAAATGTCAGTGTTTGATGTTAAAGAATATATGTATGTGTGCGTTTAGCTAGTAGTAAAAGCTTACTGGGTGATCAGCGTCCAATTCTGATCCATAAGAAAGAATTTGATTAGCAAAACGATCAAGTTCCTTGATTTTTCCAGGAAACCAGGGCACTGTATCTGTTGAGTGAAACAATTAAAAGAACAATTTACAATGAGTTGCTGAATATTAATTTTTTTTAACCGTAAGATTAAACATTTTACGAATAGCTCTACAGTTTAGCATCTTCCGAGGATAATTATTTTGTAAAATTCCTTTCTTTCTCAGTGAGAACTTTACAATTACAATTTATCACTCTGATAAAAATGTTTATAATTTCTTTCCACACACACACAATTTACTAGTGAAAAAAATAAATATATTTAAACAGTTAAATTTTGCCTTAACTAAAAGATATGCTCATTCTCAACTTAACTAAGAATTAGTTCTTTAACCTATCAAAATATTCCCAAAAAATAGTTAGCATATCAACTTGAGATTAACATCAACTTAATTATCAACTTCATTTTATTATTCTATTTTTTTTTCACTAACATTTATTTGAAGTTTTATGCTTTTTTTTTCTGCAATACCGCCTCGCTTTCAGTCGGTTTGGAGTAAAATAAGGGTTAAGATAGTAGTCTTACCAGCATTGTCCATATGGTCTCGTGATATGACCTGCATGTAGGTTGTCGTTTTATGTAAGATATCCAACGCTTTTCCAAGGCCCTTTGAGGTTGTATCACATTCGACAATAAACTCATAGTGGTTGGGCGAGCGTTTGGACGAACGTGATTCAATGTGATTAAGATTCACATTATTGTCCTTTCGAATAGAAAAAAAAAAATTAAAAACGTTTTAACTTCTTTTTCCCCAATTTATAAGTAACTGTTAAAACCTTTTTGTAATTCTTTGGGAAGATGTCTGTTGCTTCACTTAAGTCATTCAAGAAATGAATTAGCAAACAATTTAACTTAAACAGAAACGTAAATGTGTGAGAAGACTGATTGCTCGAATAAAATATACAATATTCTCAATCATCGAAATCATATAGAATCTCAAATTGTTTTTCCAGCAGCACTGTGCTAACTAACGTACCTTAAAAATCTTCAAAGCCGTTGCTAAGGCGCCAACTTCCTCAATAAGAGAGAAGATAATGCACGTGCTATGTGTCATGTCACCTCCTTCCTTGATGTAACTTCCGCCTCTTCCAAGTTTCGGCTGGGGGACGGAAACAATAAACATAAGGTGAGGGCTGAAATCTTAAAGCATTTTTACAGACACAAAAACTTCCTCGAGTATTATAACAGAGATACACGTATATCATACGTGTCAAGTTTTATTGACAACAAACAGTGTATAATTTTTGGAAGAAGAACACAAAGGGTATCGGATCCTTGTTGACGGGGGGGGGGGAGAAAAAGGGGAATTTAAGCTTTGAAATGTAACAATTTAATGATATTGAGACTATTATTTGGCATGGAGGTGGGAAGTTGAGGGGTTTGTTTGTTTGTTTGTCTTTAGAGCAAAGCCACATTGGGCTATTTGCTATATGATCAACGCGGAAAATCGAACTGCGTATTTTAGCGTTGTAAGCCCGTAATTAGGTGTAAGAAAGGAATATAGTTGACTACACCAGTCAAACATCAATTCACAATACAGCTGAGGAAATCTTAAAATCAATTATAGTGTTTTCTCTTAGGGATAAAAAAATTCAAAACAAGTTACGGTTCTCAAATCCAGCAGAAATTAAGCTTTGATCAGAAGCACTTTGAATGACTTTGCCAAAATACTTGTAAGTTTCAAAAACCCAGTGGCACAGCGATATGTCTACGGACTTACAACACTAGAAACCGGGTTTCGATACCCGTAGTGGTCAGAGCACGGATAGCCCATTGCGTATTTTTGTGCTTAACCTCAAATATGCAATTAAAATTGCGTTTGGATTTATACTTGCCTCCCAGTTTTTGTACTTCCGCATACGAATTATATATATAACGAATTTCTACAAAACTAAAAGTTATTAAAGTGTTTACTCCCTATAACATAAATCTCTAGTTTATAAAGTTTGGTTTGAATTTCGCGCAAAGCTACACGAGAGCTATCTGCGCTAGCCGTCCCTAATTTAGCAGTGAAAGACTAAAGGGAAGGCAGCTAATCATCACCGCCAACTCTTGGGTGTATTATTTTACCAACGAATAGTGGGATTGACAATCACATCATAACGCTCTCACGGCTGAAAGTTTTGGGTGAAGGGGATTAGAACCCGCGAGTCTCAGATTGAGAGTCGAGCGCCTTAACCACCAGACCTTAAAAAATCTTTTTCTAATCAGCCTAATATAATTATTTTGAATAATCTTAGCCAAATGTTGCAATAGAGGGCGCTGTTAGTCGTCACAGATCGAGAAATGTGTTTTTTGTTATGCACAAAGCTACACAATGGGCTATCTGTGCTCTGCCCACAACGGGTGTCGAAACTGGAGGGCGATCGAGAAACATTTACACTTATTAAAATGTATTGGAAACCAAACAAGGTTTTCTTTTGAACGACTTGTTCAATCAGTCTAGTTTGAGTAACTGATAAAAACAACAAAGGTTACATAAAAATGGAAGATGTTGATAAATATACCATTTATGAAATAGTTTTATCTGTAACTTCCTGTACATTTGTCCAAACAAGTTTATAATAAGAAAAATACTGGGAATAATAAACTCTAATTTTAAGAAGTTAATTTAATTGAGATTGATAGAAATATCACGTGGTCAAAAAATATGAAATTATTAGATCAACAATGCAAGGGTATTTGTGAGCAGAATATCTAAACGATAAAAATATATTTAAAAAATTAAATACTGATGCCCAAGCAAAGTGATTTGTTTTATTTTCAAATGTCGAATAGCTATCAACCTTTTAAGATTTTATCACCAAACAACGAGCTACTTGCAAAACCATGCGCATTCCAGTTACAAGTAATAAAAATCAAGTGCCGTTAAGCATGACCATAAAAGTACAGAATCGAGGTGGAGCTGATGAACGCTCCACGTGTCAAGGCTCACTCATTAAGTTGTTTGGATTTTATTAGCGCAATGCTACGGGATGGACTTTCTGCGTTCTGTCCACTCCATGGAATCGAACCCCGAACTTCAGCATTGCAAATCCTGAAACTTATCGCTGATCCATCAGGGTACCACTACTAAAGTAAATTATGTTTAACGTATTACAAATACAATTTTACAAAATATTATTTTTCTTCACCTTGCAGTGCGCCCAAACAGGATAAATTTTGCATCCTCATAACGTTGTTCAATTCAGTTCAGATTTATTGTGCCAGACCAACTGCACAAGTTAGTTATATACGAAAAAAATAAATAATAAAAATACAGACAAATACGAAAAAGATTGTCTAACAAATTAATTAAAAATTAAATATCAAGTTATCCAACATTTGTTTATTTGTTTGTAATTAAGCACAATGCTTCACAATGGGCTATTTGTGCTCTGCCCACCACGGGTATCGAAACCAGGATTCTGGCGTTGTAAGTCCGCAGACATAACGCTGTGCCACTGGGGGGCGTTATCCAACATAATTATAATATAAACGTTGCAAACAAATTCATATTGCGTGTTGTATGGAACAATTTAATGACACTTAAGTTAAAAGTAATAAAATGTGAAATATATTTATACTAAAAATTAAATCGTCTTCCTTCTTTCTAGCAAATGATGACTGCGACTGATAAAATATGAACATACTCATAATAAAAAAATGCCCCAATATCTCTGAAGTAAGACTAGAACCATTTTTTGTCTCCGATATAGCTTTTTTTAGAATCCGTAGTACCAATACAATTCCAAGCAAAAAATCCGTATTCAAGTTTGCTTCAAACAAGTGATTTCAACAACAACAACAGCAACAAAAAAATAGATTTATTAAAACACTTTAGTAACCCAATACAATGTTTAAGGTTCTTATGGAAGCATCACCTACACTAGAAATATGCAAATGAAAATTTAGTTTCTAATCAAATATTACGCAAACGTTTTTAATATAATGGAAGATCTAAACAAAACATAATTACTTACTAGTTGGAGTACCCGTTCCCTGAATGGAAGTTATGAAAATTCATGATTAATGAAAAGTTATCTTAAGACATGAAATGTTGCTTCCCTTATATGTAATTGTAAAAAATGACAAAAAAAAAACAAAAAAAAACTGGAAAACACAAAATGTGAAACCGCAACTTTGCATTTATCTCCTATAGACCCAATGAACCTTCATACCAAATTTGGTGAAAGTCCATCTAAAGAGAGCGAAGTAGTGGTAAAAACCGAAACTTTGCATTTATCTCCCC